CTCGAGTCTCGGGGTGTGACAGGGATGCGTTATGCATAAGGAAAAGGAACGGAAGAGGAGGAGGAGGAGGAGGAGGAGGAGGAGGAGGAGGAGGAGGAGGAGGAGGAGTAGGACATGAGGAGGAGGAGGAGGAGGAGGAGGAGGATGCGGAGGAGGAGGAGGCAGCAGAAGAAACGGGAAGGATAACACGAATAGTAGTAATAATAAGACTCATCGTAATATTTGTACGATTGATAGTAAGAATGATAACAAGCAGAAATAATGTCATTAATAACCCGAATATCACCAAGAAGCATACCAACATTGCTACCACTACTACTACTACTACTACTACTACTACTACTACTACTACTACTACTACTACTACTACTACTACTACTACTACTACTACTACTACTACTACTACTACTACTACTACTACTACTACTACTACGACTAGGACTACGACTACGACTACTTTCACTACTACTACTACTACTACTACTACTACTACTACTACTACTACTACTACTGCTGCTGCTGCTACTACTACTACTACTACTACTACTACTACGACTACGACTACGACTACGACTACGACTACGACTACGACTACGACTACGACTACGACTACGACTACGACTACTACGACTACGACTACGACTACTACGACTACGACTACGACTACGACTACGACTACGACTACGACTACTACTACTACTACTACTACTACGCTACTACTACTACTACTACTACTACTACTACTACTACTACTACTACTACTACTACTACTACTACTACTACTACTACTACTACTAACTACTACTACTACTACTACTACTACTACTACTACTACTACTACTACTACTACTACTACTACTACTACTACTACTACTACTACTACTACTGATTATAATGCTACGAATGCTAGTACTGCGAAGAATACGAATAACAGTAATCACAAGCAGGCAAATGCGAGTAACACGAATAATATGAGTATCAAGACCAATCCTAATATTACCAATCGTAAGGAGGAGGAGGAGGAGGAGGAGGAGGAGGAGGAGGAGGAGGAGGAGGAGGAGGAGGAGGAGGAGGAGGAGGACGAGGACGGGACGAGGAGGAGGAGAGGGGAGGAGGAGGAGGCAGAGGCGGAGGAGGAGGAGATGACGGCTCGGTGTGAGGACGAGGAGGCGGAGGAGGAAGCGGAGGTGGTGAGGCGAGAGGAGGAGTAGGAGGCGAGAGAAGGAGGCGGAGAGGTGAGGAGGATGAGAGGAGGAGGCAGAGAGGAGGAAGAGGAGGCGAGGCGAGAGGAGGAGGAGGAGGCGAGAGGAGGAAGCGGAACAATGAGCAGGAGGAGATGAGGAGGCGGAGGAGGATGAGGAGGAGGAGGTCGAGGAGGGGAGGCGAGAGGAGGAAACAACACAACGAGGAGGCGAGACGACGTGGAGCAAGAAAGCGAGGAGGGCGGTGTGCCCCCTCGGCCCCCCCGCGCACTGCTGAGAGACGGCCTGGTTTGGCCGACCCACGGTCGTGCACGACGGCCCAGGCTGCCAGGGCCAGCTCGGATCGCGCCCGAGCCCTTCGCGCAGCCCGGGCTCTGCCAGGCAGTCTGCGGCCGTGTCGGTGCGTGCGGGGGTCGGGGTTCTGCGGAGCCGTGCCAGCTTCCGAGGCCGCCCCTGCTCGCTGCGGCAGGAAGCAGGGTGTGTGTGTGGGGGATGTTTTTTACACGTTTCCCCCCACCCCCCCAAGCCCTCGTAGAGCGCTGCGGTCGCGACTCCTCCTCCTCCTCCTCCTCCTCCTCTTCCTCCTCCTCCTCCTCCTCCTCCTCCTCCTCCTCCTCCTCCTCCTCCTCCTCTTTCTCCTCCGCCTCCTCCGCCTCCTCCGCCTCCTCCTGCGCTGCTCGGTGGCGGTGAAGTGTGCACGTGTCGTCACTTTCGTGGGCTCCTGGGCGGGTCCAGCAGAGTCGGGGGGCACGCGCACCCAGACGAGGCTTCGCTGCTTCCTGGGTGGCTGCGAACTGCGCCTCTGTCGCCACCTTCCGTGGGCTCCTGAGAGGTCCAGCGGAGTCGGGGGCCACGCGGATCAAGCCGAGACGTCGCGACTCCCTAGGAGGCTACGATGCGCGCAATGGTCGCCATTCTCGTGAGCTCCTGGGAGGCACTGCGGAGATCAGGGCAGAGCAGACCGTTCATATCTGGCGATGGGCTCTTGTGTATGGAGCGTTCGTTCAAATATCCGCCCCGCGTGGAGAATCGGTTGGGTACGTCTCGGGTATTTTGTGTGCCAGCAGGGGCCATTTACCTCCGAAAAGCTATGGCCGCCACGAGGGAAACCCGCCAGTCTCGGAACGTCTTTGGGGCCGTCTTGCGGCCCTCGTGGGCCGTGTTGGGCCCCTCTCGGGCCGTCTCGGGGCGCTCTTCGGCCGTCTTGGGGCCCTTTTGGAGGCCTCTTGGGCTGTCTCGGCGGCCTCTTGGGGGCCTCTTGGGCCCTCTTGGAGCGTCGGAAGTCTGAAGAGGCGAGA